CTATGAGTATACAATGAACAAGAGGGCACTGGCTAGGGTTGCAAAAATGCGGGATCTTGGGGTAATATTTGACATATTTGACATTGTCATATAAATGACATAACAAGTAGGGCATCTAAAATGTATGAATTTATTGTCAGAAATTGCAAAGAGCTCAATATATTATGTGTTAAAACTCTGTATTTTTCATATGTGAGGAGTATATTAGAATATTGTTCTATAATATGGAGCCCGTATTATGAGAACTATAAATATAGTACCTATTGAAAAAATTCAAAATACATTTTTGAGATATTTACATTACAAGGAAATAATGCGATATGAAATGCATATACCAAAATTAGAAATCATGAAAGCTCATAATATACAAACGCTTGAAGGCAGGAGGAAAGTTTCTACAATTATATTTCTTTATAAAATAATAAATAACATGATAAATGCTCCTTATTTGTTAAACCAAATTAAATTTTATGCTCTGACATATAGAACACGAAATTCTTTGAGCTTATTTACTGATAATACTCGAACTAATTACTACAACAATTCACCTGTTATTGTAATGTGTAAATTATACAACCAAATGCGCTTACAATTTGATATGTGGAATTTAAGTTCTGTAAGTAGGCTGAAATTAATACCTACTTATGTCATTGGTGACAAGCTAGCGCCTGTGTGTATAAATGATCCTTCAAACGCCTTGTTTGTCCCCCCAACGAAAGTGAGGTTATGTATGGACGTCAACTAGTGCCTAATTCCTCCTTTCGGCACTTCTCACAGCAAAGTTGTAATCTAATGATCCGAAACGCCTTTATGCTCTTGTTCTAGTATAATTGTAATTTTAAATGTTACGGTATTTGTATATTTCATAGTTTATTCAGAAAATAAACTTGCTAATTAATGTTGACATAATTCCTTGGTGTTTTCACCTGATCCTTCGAAAACAGTAAGTACAAAATCCCTTGAGCAGTATGAGAAGTTAACAGTTCCTGGGTACCAGCAACCTGTTTGGATCTCGGCGAATGTAAGTGAAGAATATTTCCTCACACTTTCCATGTTGAGATTTTTAATCTAAATGATTATTTTTAGTACCGCCCAAACTCTATATAAATAAAATTTGGAAAAAGAGCGGCGGAAAAATTGAAAATTGATAACATTTCCTCCACTTTCTTTAGCGAAATTTTATAACTGTAACTTCAAATGAGCTGAAATTTTTAGGGTTTTAGTTCCTTCAACTTTTCATTAAAAGCTTTAGCTTCATTTACTGCTTTAGTTATACCAGCAGCTCCCCCACCAAGAGCTTCCAAAGCAGATAAGCCAGCAAATAAACGAATAAGGAATAATTAAATTTGGAAATTTAACTTCCTTCAAACAAAATTTAAAATGTTTCCATATTGAGATTTTTTTATAATCATTTGGGCCTGCGCAAACTCCATGCGGTAAATGGTTGTGAGATTTGAAGCCGAAATATTTAGAAAAAGAGCAGCACAAAAATTGAAAAACGATAAAATTTCCTCCGCTTCCCTTAGCGGAATTTCATATCTACTATTCGGATTTCCTTGAAAATAATTTCTATCTACATAAGGTACAAATTCGAGGATCGCCTTTTTCTTAAGTAGGCTTTTCGATTTCAACATCAACTTTAAAGTTATTATCATAAACTTCCGCATCTTCGTTCTACCGCTCTACTATAAGATAGGTACTATGTTGTAGCATTTTCACATAATTGGTCATAGCTGAATTCATTTATTGGAATGGAAAATTTTAGTCTACCTCCTGTCTGTATCCCTTTTCATTTGCAAGAAATACAATTGTGAGACCCCAAATTCAGAAACTTAGCAAGATGTTAACTTGGCGAGCTGTGACTTTAGTTTCTGAGTGGAGACACAGTTTAAAGTGGGTCCTATTTGCGGGTGGAGAGTAAAACACAGAAATATTGTGGTCAATTAAAATAAAGTTTATTTTATTGAAATAAATAGAACTTGGTATTAAATAACAGGCGTGAGTCATAAATAATCTTACAATAAAATTATTCAATCTCTAATTAAATGTTAAAGAAAATTTATATGATTCCAAGTAGGTATTTTTCTTATTTTCCCCTACTGAAATGTTTTTATTATAGATAAGCGTAAGAGTTTCCTTATGCAACAAATTATTAAAATTTTAATTTACAGCGTGACTAGACTCACACTTTTGCCTTCACAATTTCTGGCTGAACATAAAAACTCTACTTACATTTAACAATAATATATTTACTGTTGGCCACACCTAGAATTCTTATTGGTCGAAGGAATTTACTTTTCTTATGAACATTTAATAAAACTCGAATATTTTCGCGCTGCCCCGTAATTTCACGTCGTGCTTCTTCTGTCGGTTAATTCGACAACTCTTTCACGGAAGGTACTGCTTCTCGTTCACTGACTATTTCTGCCGTAGTTCTGACTTTTTGGACACAGGTCTCTCGATTTTCGATTACTACTTGTTTCTTGATTACTCAACCGAACACTGGTTTACAGACGTAGCTCTTCCCGTTCACTCGCTATTTCTCGAACATTGCTTTTCTCCTGCCAAAGTCGCCATTTTATATCATTGGTCCCCCCATTATCTTGAATTTCTTTGTTTTTTCTGGCCTCGATTTTACGTGGTTGAATCATCCGATCAATTAGTGTATTTGGTCCCCTTTTAAATAATTATCAAGGGCGTCGCTAAGTGGTTTGTTAAGTGGGTATCATCATATAGGCTCGTGCGTGATTTATTGATCCTTCTCTTAGACTATATACCTACAATACTGTAGAGATAGGACTAAAATCACCAAATAGTTTGACCTAACATCAACAAGCGCTTAGGATCACTTGTCAATGAGTGCAGCCAAATATTTTTTGTGGTGGGAGAACACTGCAGCCGGCAGGGGTATATTCTTTGGCGTCAAGCGGTTGCCTATCCTTGTCTTGCATAAGAAGTTGGAAAAGAACATTGCATAAATACGCTGGATGTATTTTACTACGCGGAGCAATGTGGTGTTTATAATGTGCATCAATGTTGGAGCAAAACAAACAGGCACCTTTTCCTATCTCTACATAGTATTGTAGGTATATAGTCTAAGATCCTTTTAGGAATTTTTCGGTTCCTTTGGAATGATAATTGTTGAAAGCACTTAAATAAGGTCCATGAACTTTTGCTTTATTCTCGTTCCAATGTATTAGTCAATTATTTTGTTTCTTTCCTATTGACTGGTCATTCTTGAGAGAAAGTGTATCAGCTTTCAATAATTTCTGGATATCGATGTTCAGATAAATTTTAATTGAAGTTTCTGGTTGTGTTGTCTGAGTGATGTTCTCTCCTGGGATGGTTGTTTGGTAAGTTCTAGTTATACTTGATTAAAATTTCTATAGTCACTACACAATTATTGAAAAGTCTAACAGGTGCTACTCTCTCTACTGGCATTGTTATAATTTATAAAATTTATTCCAAGTTTCCAGCATCAATGTTTTGGATCATTCAGGATATTATTAATGGAACATTTCTCTTTGATGAGTATTGAATGAAAGTGGGATGTATGAAAGTTTGAAAAAAATGTTTCAAGGATACATTATTTTACGACTCTCATTGATATTCATTGCTAGTGGAAATCTTCATGACATAATCCAACAAGGAATAAGGAAAGAAAAGGGGTGGCAACCTTGTAAAAAAGTAGGGTTCATCTGGCTCAAATAATTAGCCTATCCAAAACACGTGACTTGGCAAGCAAGCAAAGGGTTTGTGTACGTCTTGGCGGACATTTTAATTTAAGTTTGACAGCACCTTGGTTAAGCCTAGTACTCATAACTGCGAAATTCGCATTTTTTTGACATTGCTTCGACAATTTGACGTTTGATACACGCATAAAACGTCAAATTGTCAAAAAAGTGCGAATTTCGCTGTTATGAGTACTAGGCTTCAGTCACCTATCCAAAACACATGACTTTGACAAGCAAACAAAGTGTTGTGTGCCTCTTGGCGGACATTTTTATTTAGGTTTGACAGCATCTTAGATAGTCTAATTAAGGTCTAATAGTATCCTGTAAGGGCTTCTACCCAGTGTACAGGTTGAGTTGATCAACGGCGAGGAGTCTAATTATCAAGGAGGAGATCTCTTCAGTACTAGAGGAAGAAGACCTCAATAAGTAAAAACTCATCAACACACAATCTGTTTCATTTCTTGAGGTATTGAGAGAAACTTTGTCTTTTTTGTTTGTGAAGATTTCTGAACAACTGCGCCGATAACTGAAAAAGCTGTTTCAAGGTAAAGAATAAACAAATCGCCGAATTGAAAATCTAATATTTGCATAAGTCTGAGGCCTTCTGCATACGATATACCTACACTTAATTGAATTAGCTCTGGCAATTTTGAGTGTATGTAATTATCAAATCGAACCATTATTATAATTAATCAGTTTCTGGGAGGTCTCTGAAATTTTTAGATTTCCTTCTATGATTTTTCCTGGTTATATTCAGAATCAACATCTATAATAGGCGGAAAGATATGTCTAGACGGTTAAAAATCCCATAATAAATAAAACGAGACACTATTAATTCCAACAACAACCAATTATAAAGTTGAAATTTCTCCAAAAAAAAAAAAAAAAAAACTCCATCCCTCATAGGCAAAAGTAGGCTTCATTTTTCAATAGCCTTTGTTAACTGTGACAAACTGACAAAGAAACAAATCTCTCAAACTCCAAACTCTTCTCGTCAATAAATTCTTTGTGCAGCCCCAAAAACGTCCTAATTAAATTCGAGCCTTAGAAAAAAGCCGAAAGAGAAATTTAATCACCGAAAACGTACTTGGAGCTTCTCAACAAAAAAAAAAAATCTTATAGCAAATAAATTTATTTTTTGTACAACAATTAACTTTGTTTCAGGTGGAACACTTCACAGTACTCTGGATACTGTTCATAGTGATCGTAATTGGAAACAGCGGCGTGCTGTATTCGCATTTCATCGGACGACCGAGGAAAAGTCGCATGAAATTTTTCATTGCCCATTTGGCGTTTGCAGGTAAAAAATCTATTTATAATAATTAATTATTAAACCCTTAAAATAATAAAGTCTGGAGGCAAAAACCCAAAACCCTCTAATTTTCATTAGCATCAAAAGATACAGAATGTTGACAGAATATAATTGCTATGCTGGGGGGTAGATTAGAATAGACACAAAATTAAATGTGTAATTAGGGGATGATACAAAAGGACTTGTGAGTTTATTGAATTTTATGTGGGGAAGTTGAAAATAACGAGTGATTTGGAAATATGTCTTGTCTAGCGACTCTCTCATGATTGTTTTGGTGCCATCTATACCTTTGTAAGTAGACCAAGTTGGTTTTTTTCTTGTAGTTTTGAGAACTTTTCATTAAAACTTTTCTTATTTTTCAGATTTAACTGTTGGTTTAATAAGCGTCCTGACAGACATTGTGTGGAGAATTACTGTAACCTGGTATGCTGGCGACGCCTGGTGTCGATTTATCAAATTTGCTCAAGTAAGTACCCAGTAGGGATGGTGTAGAAACCAGAAAGACACCCAACTCAACTTTCTGACTTATAGCTTTGGATACTAAAGATGTCAGTGTCATTTCGTAAAGTATTGAAGGATCCTCCAGCTCGTAAAAATGAAAATCTCCTTTCTTAAAAATATCCTTTGTGCTCTACTGTATCGTCTGTATCACCAGTTACCACTCCCTATAATTGTTATCATCAATTTATACCCTTTTAAAATTTCCCTATTAAATCTCTAAATTAATTCGCTACATTCTCACGATAACTAACGACGCCATTATCGCTCCCATTTTGCGATACCCTTTTGCTGAAAATTTGCTTTAGTATCTAAGTTTACAATCGTTAGAAAACTCGTTTCTATGTAAAATGAGGAAAATCAAAGAGTACCTAAATGCTTAATAAAAGTATTTTAGCTTCTTATATTCAGATATCAATATTTAATTTTGAAATTAAGAAGCCTATACCTACACCTAAAATATACTCTAGTGGGATATTTTAAGTATTCATTAAGCACTGAAACTTTAATCATTTTGAAGATTCTGGAATGGTTACTTAGTTTAAGAGATCCTTTTAATATGTGTCTTACGACAGTGGTCTTTTCATTCTTTATAGCAATTTTGAGCTCATACCCTTTAGGATTTAACTGACTTCAAATAAAGATTGGAGCTGGTAGTATTTTGGAAACGTATTATCATGAATTTATCTTCAATTATTCGTGGAGACATTTGGATATATAGAGAGGATGTTTATGCTGTTAAATGAACAACGATCAACATGCCTACAATCAGCACTTGGCTGTCACCTAAAATTTTGTTTTTATTAACAAATTCCAAAATTACTTCATTCTTCAATATGTCTTGCAGAATCTTATATGCTGGACTACTTTCTTGTTATTGGCCCCTATAGTGTTCTATCCATTGCTCTAGCTTGATTACCTGGATATTAGCTCTAGGCTTTGGCATTTAATATAAATCTCCATACCTCTGAGCATTTCCTTCCTCCTATGTAGATGTTAATTTCTTCACATATGACAACACTATAGTGATGCACGTTCTTAGTTGTCTCTTTATGTCTTCATAAACTTCAAGGTCTTGTTCATTTTTTGTTATTTTACATTTCAAATATTTTTGCTTCTTCTCTCCTCGTACCACCAGTATTTCTTGTTGGTATTTTTTTCTTTTCGTTCCTATATTGCTTCTTGGGTGGCTTCTTAGACTCCTTATAATGTTCTCCTAGAAATAAAAAAGATGAAAAGTTAAAAGAAATGCTAGCGTTGATGAAGGAAATGTCTGCAGATCAAAAAGAGCTTAAAGAGGAACTGAAACAAATTAAGGATCAACAATCGATGTTTAATGAAAAATTCTTGAAATTAAAAGGAAAGAACGAAGTATTAAACAGGGAAAATCAAGAAATTAAAAGAGAGAATACAGAAATAAAAACCGAATTGCAAGAGATGAGAAAAACAATAGAAATTATAGATAAGGAGAGAAGAAAAAATAATGTAGTGATGAATCGATTAAAATTTGATAACAATGAGCCGGCAGTGCTGGTAGAAGATGTGAAGGCATTTTTGTACCAACAATTAGAAGTTGATGTTACACCTAAAACAGTTACCAGGATAGCAGAGAGAACCTGGATAATAGAACTACAAAATGAAATGAATAAGAGAAAAATCATGGAAAATTAAACAAAACTAAAGGACATGAGAGGATAAAGAGTTTTCATAAATGATGATATGACCAAGCAGGAGAGGGAAAAACAAAAAGAAATAAGAATATTTGCAAATCAGGAAAGGCAAAAAGGCAAAGAAGTAAAGATAGGATTCAATAAGGTAACGGTAAATGCAGAGGAGTAGAGATGGGATAAAGAAATAAATAATTAAAAAAAAAAAACAGGAAAAACCTCATCAAAAAACTGAATAGTCAAACGAACAATACAAGGAATGGGGAAAACAACACAGCAATGGAATGGACTATGAATAAGGAAGTTAGTAATAACAAGAAAACTGAGGAAATATGTAAAATGGGTATCTACGTGGAATATTAGAAGTATGTTCGGGAAAGAAAAAGAACTAGAAGAAGAATTCGAAAACACAGACTTGAAACTGCTAGCCATTACAGAAACAAAGAAGAAGGGACAAGGAATGATAAATATGGATAATGGCCACATACTTGTGTACAGTGGAATTAAGAAAGAAGAAAGACCAGCAGCGGGTGTTGCATGCATAATTCACAAAGTCATAAAAGAGAAAATGAGCAAATGAAAAGGTTGGTCGGATCGATTATTAGTGTTGGAACTTAGAGATAAGAATAAAAGCATAAGAACTATTATAGTTGTGTATGGACCCAATGAAGACGATTCAATGGGTAATAAAGATAAATTCTGGGAAGATTTAACCATGGCCACAGAAGATGCAAAAGGAAAAATAATTATACTTAGAGATTTTAACAGCAGAGTGGGAACAAAAGATGGCACATATTATAATACAGTAATAGGAAAACATGGCGAAAAGGTTAGGAATAATAATGGAGAAAGTCTGCTTGATTTTTGTGTGCTACATAACTTGATAGCAACTAATAAATTTTTCGAACATAAAGAGATACATAAATATACACGAGAGAAGAAAACAAGAAATGAAAAGTCGATAATAGATTATGTATTAGTAGAAAAGAATAATAGAAAGGAAGTATTGGATACCAAGGTTAGAAAGGGGCCGAAAATAGGTAGTGACCACTTTTTACTTGTCACAAAAATTAGAGAGCCAGTAGAGAATACGAAACATGATTAGGTATCAAAAGATAGAAAAAAAAAATAGAATATGAATCAGTGAAATCATACAAACTACAAAATAAAGAAATAGTAGAGAGATACAAAAATACATTAACAGAAAGATTCTCTAATGATACATGCATAAATGAAAATACTAATGTAGAAGACATCTGGAAGTATTTTAAGAAAATAGTTATGGAGACAACAAAAGAAATATGTGGCACTAGTAAAAAAAACGAATAAGAAAAAACAAACAGCATGGTGGACAGAAGAAATAAAGAGACAAGTAAAATTTAAAAAAAAAGGCATGGAAGATTTATATAGACAACAGAACAACATGAAAGGTACAAAGAGAGCAGAAAACAGTAAAAAATATGGTAGCAGTGGCAAAACGAAACCAATGGGAAGAATTTGGTGAAAAAATAAAAAGAGATAGCAAATCAAATCAAAAACTATTCTACAAAACCTTGAAGTCGTTACAAAAAGAGAAAGTACAAGAAATAAGTTGGATAAAGAATACCTAAAGACGGAGAGAGGCTAACAAATGAAAACGAAATAATGAATGGATGGAGAGATTATTTCCAGAAGTTACTAGGAGCCGATGGAATAGTACAAAGTGAAAACAAAGAAAATGATGCGATAGAAGAAAATCAAGAAAATCAGGAAAATATAGATAACCATAAACGAATTGCAGGAAATAATAAAGGAGTTAAAGAATGGAAAATCACCTGGACAAATAAATTAACAGCGGAAATGTTTAAGAATCTGGGGGATACAGGAATGGAAATACTACTAAGAATATTTAATACAGCGTGGTAAAAAGAACAGATACCGGAAGATTGGAAAACAGCTCTAATAGTTCCAATATACAAAAAGGGAGACAGGCATGATTGTGATAACTATAGAGGAATAAATCTACTTAGTACAGCAATGAAAATATACCTATGAGAAAATTATGGACATCAGATAAATAAGGCATAGAATAGAGAATACCCTCGAAGAGTCACAAAGTAGGTTTAGAAAAGGCCGAAGCATACAGGATCACATATTCACAGTGAAACAAATAAATGAAAAGTTCTCACAGCAAGAAAAAGTAGTATATATGGGATTCATAGACCTTGAAAAGGCTTTCGATAAAGTTCGAAGAGAGAAGTTATGGAAAATATTGGAAGAGAGGGGAGTTAATACTAAAATAATAAGAATAATTAAAAACATATACGAGAACAACATAAACTGTGTAATATATAGAAATAAAAAATCAAGAAGGATTAAGGCAAGGAGGAGGACTAAGCCCATTATTATTTACGATCTTTATTGACGAAATAATCAAAAAATCTTCACGCAGAATGACAAAATTACACGTGGGACTCTGGAATCTAAAAAGAGTAGAAGTATCAGAGGGAGCTTTTGCAGATGATGTAATAATTATGGCAGAAAAAGAAAAAGACTTAAAAAAAAATATGCGCTTTGTGAAGAATTCGGAATGAAAGTAAATAAACACAAAACTAAAATTATGGCTATAGGAGAGGAACAAATTGACATAAATGTACAAATAGATGGAATAAAAATCGAACAAGTAAAAACATTTAAGTAGCTGGGAGTAGAAATAGAAGACAATGGCAGGCAACAGCGCCGTAGCAACCATGGCGCCAGGGCCCACACCTTAGGGGGCCCACTAAAAGCAGGATAATCACTGACTTGGACTCAATTATTTTAATTTGATTGCATCATGTTACAAATCTCAAAATCTGAAATGCAAACGCCCATAAACGGTGTTTTCTTATCTTGCGATTCGTGCGACGCGTGCGGCTCGTTCGGCGCGGATCAGTGGGCGCCTACCTTCAGAGGTTAGCTGCCCATTGACGGCAACGCTGTGCTTTCTGACCGTGATGACGTAGCTAAAAGTTTATTTGGTATAAACTTGGTAACTTCAAAGACTCGCGAACACTATTGTACAAATATGCACAACTTTTTTCGGATTCAACCAAAGTCGTACTCTTTACGTACAATTCCAATACAGGATTCGAATACCAGAATTCCAATACAGGATTAGAATACAGGGATCCGAATACAGGATTCGAATACAAAGTGAGAATTCAAATACTGGGATTCTAAAACGATTTTCAGAATCCAGAGTACCGAATACTGACCAAAAAAGTATTCAGTCGAATACCAAATACACAAATGTATTCGAATAATAAGCCAAATGTATTCT